TTTTACTTGGATAGCCCCGGTTTCCTAGAATTGGCTTACGTGTTAACCCTCTTAGCGCAACAAAATTCGGTCATTCGTTTCCGTATGTGCACTTACAGAATTAGGTTATTGTCACGGAAATAACATGAACAGGAATGGTATTTGATGAAGGAATGGTGTAAATTACCAGCATGTCCGAAATTGCGTGCATTTCAATTGGTTAATATTTGTAAATTCTGATTTGAAGTAATGGCGGTTTGCACATCGAACGGAAGTGGGTCTATAAATGAACAGAGTGAGTCCGAAGTCACCAGCCACTCATGTGAACAAGTTTTTTTAACACGCGCTTCGCACATTGTCGAGTCGACTGTCCATAAAACAGAATTCATGTAGAAAGTTCTGTGTTGAGGGGAGTTGGAACACAAGTCGACTAAGTTTCTCTGGGAAAGTGATATCCTTTTTGCCGTTTTCAATCGCTTTTTGCAGTTAACACACACGTTTTTCTGTTGTCAGTCCCTAATTACTCGCCTCTGTGCCAATTTTGGGGCGTATTAATGCGATTTCTCAACGAGAAAGGCAATAAAGGTGACAGTGGTAGAATGTGCCCGATTTTCACAGATGGCAGAAGCATGTGCTCTTGACTGTGCTGATGGTGTTTTTATAACATGACCTTAAAACGTTTTTTTTTTAAAATTAGTTTGTTTGTCCGGTTAATATTCAAAATTGTACGTGCTAACGAAGATTTTCGTCATGTCACGTTATACAAGTTTAAAAACGGACAGATTGTGATTATTCGTAAGATGGGCGAAGAGTGATTTGGTAGATTTCAAAATTGTGCTTTCAGCCTATGTCTTAGACCTCTCTCTAGGCGACCTTCTGGCATCGACAGTGATTAAATCTAGTATTTTGGTCAATATTATTCCACGAAATTGCTGAGAGACTAGGTGTTGGCATTTGAAGAAACTCGGATACACTTCGAAACTCAATCAACTCCTTCTGGATCAAGTCATAACTGAAGGGTTTAAGTAGTTTGTGTGTAACAATAAATTACGATGTCAAAAGTACCTTATTAGACTGTTTTTTTTTTGAGGCGAACCCGCACAATTTCTACGTTGAAGAAAGTCAGTCTTGTAAAAAGTTGGGAGTCAGTTATCAGTGCAAAAAAAATGTGCTGTACTTAATTTGCTTTTAAATTGATCACGAAAATTTGCGATCAGCCATAACTTTGCCTAACAATATTCACCAATCAAGCCATCGTTTGATCGTCCAATCAGCTGCTAATGAACCAATGAATAAGTCACCAATCAAGCCACCGATCGATCGTCCAATCAGGTGTGAGTGAATCAACGAATAGGCGTGCATCGGTTGCCTCGTAGCTTTAGGTCTACCTTATACATTACGAGTGAACAAGCCATCAAGTTTCCCTGCCAACAAGTGCATATTTTTCGACTAGCAAGCCTTTGGACTGCCTTATCTGGCTTCTGAAATTCCCATACAAGCAGTCGAGTGGAATTCACAAAATGTCTACCGCGAAGAATGTCATATTTAGGGTCGAAAAACACCCTAGTAATTCAAATTTTTCAAATACTTTCCGGCTAACACGCATTTGCTAAGATGTAATTTCGACTGCATTTTGCGACAGATCTTAGCTTCTGCTGCTTAGACCGGAAACAATGCAACGCGACCTCTTTCTAGTTGACGTTGCTCTACTTCAATCTTACTGGGTTTGATGGAATAAAATGCGTCGTATTTCTGACCAACCACTTCGTCAGTTTGAGTGGCATTTTTACTCCTTCGGTTAACCGCCAGACGTTAACTCAGGGTCAGGCGATGTACATACCCACATCGATTGTTATTACGTGATAATTCGATCAAATGTCACATGTTTACTGTTTGATTTACTTAGCTAACGAGTAAACCCGATTTTCGCAATGAAGAGTGCTTGCACACTCCCAAAAACCTATCGCAGTTCGCTGCATGGGGTCCGAATTACATGCGAGGTTCATTTAGTGTGAAAATTATGCCTCTGGCGCATCCAGTGGTATTTCTATGCTACTTTTTTTAACGTAGGCAAGCTTGGTTGGGTGCTGATTTGCGTCGTGTGTAGTAGGCGCGAAGATTTGCCTGACGCGTCATAAAAGTAGGCGTGAAGGTACCACGAAACGACTTTTCAGTGCCATTTATCATGAGCCAGACCTAACACTTATGCTGGTGTTTATTTTTCATATTTACAGGAGGAACCAAGGCTTCTAAATCCCTACTGCTTGTCTAGAATTGTCCCCATAGGGATTTCCGCCTCTAGGGCTTAATTAATTCATTGATAACCAAAAAGTGGACTTGCGGCTGTTGCCTACTGCTTTTTGAACTAAACTTGAAGCTCCACGAAGATGTCCTGTCAACGCAATGTCCTCGTGAATCAACCACTACATAACATTAGGGTCCAAGTGGATCGTCTGTGCCTGGTTTTCTGCTTCCCCATTTTAATTTAATCTAGCACCGTCGTTTTTTTTAGCCATTCATTGGTGCTGTCAACAAGTCACCTTGATACGGAAACACAGATCACTGTCGAATTGTCGGGAACCTGGTGAGTCAAGCAATTTCCTCCATGATTTTCCACCCTTCCTTAACACCTAGGTAACCTGGTGTGCCTCTTACCAAATACCATCTGTAATTGTCTGTGGTGGCGTGTTAGCGTTCTGGACTGCGGGGTCAGGAGGCTGCAACACGAAATCGCTGGGTTCACCTCAAGTTGGCAAATTGGTAGACTAGACGTTCACCGACCACGTCCCTGTAGCTCAAATCGGTAGTCACAGCATATAAACACGAGTTGATGCACGAATCAATGCCTGACATGATGAGGTACGCTGCGCCACTGTAGGACCGACACGCCAGTTCAGGCGGGCGATATCATCAACCTCGTTCCGGGCTCCGGCGACGCTTGCCTGCCAAACCCACGGGGCGGCAGGTGGAGAGTGTCCGACGACCCAGTGACCCGCGCCGAGTGTGTCCCCCCACTGCTCATTCTCCACCCGGATGTGCTTATTTCCGGGACCACAGTGGCTGCCAGCAGCACCTGCATTCGGCGCTACGTGATGCAGCATTTGTGGGCGGAGAACGACCTCGTTCCGCTCTCCGATCTCACCTCCGATCCTGCTCAAGCCAGGGTGTCTGGAAGTCAATTGATGCTGGCTGGCAGCATTATTCACGAAGTCTTCCAAACGGTGAGTCATTAATAAAATACAACCAATCGTTTTATCCGGCGTATTTGCGTAAACTTTCACAGTTACAACTTCGGAGACAGGAGCTAGCCGTGTTCAAATTCACGCGATTTCTGTGTTGTGTACTTCCGAACGTGCATTCTTACTGTAACCTTCGTTGTCGAGCTTTCTTGTTTGCTGCTTAAATAGTCCTTAGACCTGATCGTTTAAGGACCTGTTCTACCGTCTTCAACCGCCAACCTGCATACTTGCCAGCAGCACATAAATCCATCATTTGCACACTCGTAGACAGTTTTTTTTTCAACGCAAAACCACAAAACGAGTAGCAGAGAATTTTGAGGTTGAAGCAGTGCACAGAAGGCGGGGGTTTCGGTTTTCTAAATGGGCTTTAATTTTCGCAAATAATTTTCTTGTCAGCACAACAGTGGATCATTCGGGAGCCTTACGTCCTTGCTACAGGTGAAGTGTGCATAACTGTTGCCATAACTACTGCCTGATTTAATCCAAGACGATAACTCCAAAGCTGACATATCGTTGATAAGCTCTCACTATACATCTAGTGGAAACTTGCTTTTGTCTGCATCGGTTGATGGTTTGAGCTCTGGCTGCTGATCGCTGCGTGATCCATGGGAGCCTCAAATTGTTGATCTCTGATTTCCAGCCAGTTCACCATCCCAGCCTGTCTGCAGGGCCAGTGTGGGCGTTCTCAACTCCCTGTTTTCCTTCCCATGTGCCCTGACCAATCACGATCTCTGGTGTTTGAACAATGGTCAGTTCACGGCTTGTCTTCCAGGGATAATGACGGGAACCTAATTTTGTGAACCGCCTTGACAACGGTTACAGTTGTGGTCGCATCGTTAGCGTCCACTGCTGTTTTTCGCTGTTGCGATTCCGTCATCATAGATTTTTGAACTCCCGTGATAAGAGCTAGTGCGTATTCACCATAAGCTGTACTTTCCAACACTTCATTTTTATCACCAGCCTGACACCGAGTCTTTTGCTTTAGGACAAAGAGACAATTCTTTATAGAACAAACGTAATCCGACCAATCGCCTTGTTCCTGCTGTAAAGCTTTGTTTATGACTCCGGACAAGACTATGATTGGATGATTCTTATCTATTATCGGTTGGCACCTTACGTGGCGCTACACATTAACGACTTTTGAAAACTTTTTAATATCGTCGATATTGGTGGGATTTTGGCTATATGATGTAGAAAAGGTTCCTACGAACTTTTTTATATGATTTTCTCAAAACCTGGTGGGTTTCTAGTCTGGGTTTCTCAAAAACAAAATCAGGTACACTTTCAAGTTGTGACCATTAGCGAAAGTTTTACCATTCAAAAACGTTTCAGAAACTCCCTCGAAATCACGGGTAATCGGATTGTACAAGGTCAATGTTTTCTAGGAGGATGCATGACATCACTTGCCAACCAAGCCACACCAATTTCACTCAGGGTACCAAGATTGTGTGTGGGATATTTCCTTGCCCTGTTTTGCGATTGGCCAATTCTTTGACTTCATCGAAGTCGAATTTCATTGGTTGGTGGCACAAAACTTCTTCTAGGTTGATTGGTTGGTTGGAGACATCTCAGAATGCACAGCACGTTTGCCATCTCACCTAATTTACAGTCGAATCAATTTAGTTGACGACGATCCAAGCAATCAAGACTAGCGATGATTGGTTTAATTGCGTATTCATTGCATATCACAAACGTCGATTGGTTGTGTGCAGTGAATTTCTTTCTTTCTGGCTTCTTAACGAGTCAACCCCAATTTGCTTTGGTATTTCATCCACCTCAACAGGTCGACCATAAAAGATGCTGGTCAAACTTGAGCAAACATCTCCAGAACGGAGCATTTTGCATTGATTTCAGCAGATGCGTTCTCGTAATCAACCAGCACCTCAAGCGTCACCTGCTTCTTTGTTTTCTCCAGTCGCCGGTTTCGTGGAAAGGAGATCACGTGACTTCCCGAAGATGCTCGTTTTTGTACTTCACTTTGAAATTGGCCCTACGCTAGTAGCTGAAAACAGACTTACGCTCATTCAGCTTCTAAAGTAATCGAAGAGTGACGTATTCTAAATTTTAAAAATCAGAAATGCACGGCACCCAACGTTGCTTCATAGTTTGTGAGATTTCCTTAAAAAAAAGCACAATCTTTTGCTTTGGATGGCGCCAGCAGGCAGATGATATCAGTTGACATTGAAGGACACTTTTGCCACGACACAGATCCCTTGCCAGATTTGAAGTTTCCTGACGTTCTTAATTCACCTCCAACAGGCTGTCAGACAGCGCGTTTCAGGGTGCCGCAAACCGCTCGACGCCGTCCTCTCTCAAAGTCTCTTCACACCGTCCAAAATCCTTCAACTGTAAGTACTTGCCTCATGTTCCGTGCTGCTTTTGCATGAGTTGGCGCTGTTGATCGTGTCTCCCTAACCCTCGACTTCAGATACGCAATGGACGCAACAGCGGTGGACTTCTGTGAATCCTTGGAGCAATTTTTGCCTCTGGTCGATCGCTGGGTGGCTGAAAACTGCATTTTCGGGTATGAATAGTTGTGCTTATCTGTCGCTCACAATCTACCTCTTAGCGCATTTTCATTTTCAATGAGTGTTGTGGACCCCAGCATGTGGTCTTGAACCACGCCGGGGCCACGGAATTAACCCTGGCCCGATGACGTTTCCCTGATACCCGCGATGAAGAAAAAGATCGGTGGAGACGACGTGGACACACAATCGTTTGCTTCAGAGCTCAACCACGTTGGTGTCGTGTGTGGGGTTTGCGCGTGTGTATTTATACCTCAGATTTGTGAGCCATACATGCGCTAACATCGAGACCTAGGTGTGAGGATAATCCAAGCTAAATGTCCATGTGAATGAGGAGGGAGTTGAGGATCCGCACGGCTGGCGACATGCTGCGAAAAAGGGAACCCTGTGTCGGAGACAGAGCGACCGGATTAAGGGGTGTGAGTAAACACGATTCACAACAAGACCAACCACCCTGTTACCATGACGAATATTTGGAGGCACTTGTGGGAGAGGATGGGGAGAGCATTATTGACAAATTTTTCATGAACCTGCGATTGGGGTTCGGTTACATGTGGGGAATCATATTTTTGTCAATTATTTCTGATCATTTTCAAATAAGGGCTTGAAATCGGGGTTATTTGTGTCTTCGTACACAAATAACCCCGAGAGGTACGTTTTGAGCCTGCTCACTATGCTAGTCGTCTGGGTTCGAATCCCGATTGTCGGTTTCTTCGACGCCGACCATGAATCGGTACACTTGGCCAACCGTCTATCCGCACTTCGGCAAAATTTTGATGTACTCTTGAGCACCAGGTTAAAAATTGATCTGAATTCGCCACTTGATTCCCATTTAGCCCTCAGCTTCACCGGACGTCGTGCACGCTGTCCTCACACTCAGTCGCGCGATGTCTGGAGCGTCGTGGTTGAAGCTCATCACGATAATCATTCACATCTCTATCGGTCTGGCATCAGGGGATTTGGTTTCGCGGGTTAAATGTGTACTTCAGGTGTCGCAAATCCCATTGGTCAATATCAGCTGCACCGTTTCCTGTTCTCTGTTTTTTTAAGACACCTTTTTTCTCTGCTCTTTGTTCTAGAAAGTCACCCACCGGAAAGCCAACGTTGAAGGAGGTGCTGGACGTAGAGGAGAACATTTGGTGTACAAAGTAGGTGCTAGTGTGTTCCCTTGGGTCAGATTTGCAAGACAATTCTGACAGTCCATTTGATTTGAATGTGCGGAAAACGCTTCAAGTAGGATCATCAATTAGATGTCAGGTCGTGTTCCTGAATGCAGTCTGTGTTGGTTGGAAGGTCAGCGATTAGTGTTTTCTGGTTAACAATTTGCCCTCCACAGATGATCACAGAGTAACTGCCTTCAGTATTTTCAAAAGTGAATAGTCATTGTGCAAAATCTTCGATTTTCGTTGCAAAATTTTGTTGGAATAAGTCGAGTTTTTGTGAAAATGAGGACCTTTTGTGCATATTCGACTATAGCATATGTCGAATCTGTTGCTTTAACTGACGTTACTGTATTATTACGTGGAAATTTACTGCACACCTTCCAGAATAAATTTGCATCCTACTCATTGGCGGTAATCACAGCAATGTACCGACTACCGACCTAAGTTCGCGTTCGTATTTTAGGAAAAGAAGTGTCAATTTAAAGACTAATTTTTTTTCAAAAAAACCATGCTCAGGACGGCTGTCGCCTTTTCACAAACCTCTCAGACTGTAAAGTCATCCATCTAGCCGTTGCAGTGATGTTTATCGTCGATGAAGGTTGCCATCGGCGTGGAGACATCCTAGGAAATTCGCAATAGCCTGAAATGGCCTGTTCGGCTGACAAATCTTGTTAGCTGTTGTCACGCCGGGTTCCTCACCATGGTTTACGTGATGCCTCTTGAATTCACTTTCTCTTCACGTAGCCGCCTTTGTAAACAACTGCTGATCCCTGCCTGATCCGTTCGTACTGGAAATACTATTTCTTTCGTCAGATCACCACACTTCATCAACACAAGGCAAATACTGATTTCTTGTGTGCTTTTTTTGCTTCCGTAGAATCGGTGTAAAGGGGAAAATTGACATGACAGTTGTTAGTCGCGCGGCTCCTGAGGACAAGCCCTGTCTCATTCCACTGGAACTCAAAACAGGCAAGCCGTCTTTCTCCGTTGAACACGTCGGACAGGTACTAAATTTCTGCCTTTTTGGTAATGCGTAAACCCCTTCAACCACAAACCCCCGAATGTCTGCCCTTCTCTCGCAGTTTACAAACTTAGGAAACGAGAAGTAGCTCTTGGTAACCAAGATTCGTGATTTTCTCAGTCGAGTTTCCACCGCGGTAGTGTATCACCGCGTGGTGCGTTGATGGACGATTTTTATTCGTTGTTTTCTATCCTAAGGGCTTCCCTAGTGCGCCAGGTTGTTCCTCGTTTTTGTCTCCTTTCACCTACCTCTAGATACACTCCTCATAATCGGGAAGTTTTTTGCGGCATCTTTGTTTTATCTCTTGTTAGCAAGTTTGTGTGTCACTGCTGAGCCAACAATCCAACTGTCTGTCACTGGTACCACAAATTTTGCGCTACTCAAAACGGCAAGGCCACCTGACAAGTTGCTGTCTAACAGGCCGTACCAACCCGAAAACGGAGGCCAGATAAGTCACAACGGACACAACCGTTTATTATCGTTACGCCGGCCAAGAGTGTCTGTGTGCGGATGAATAAGTGTGCGTAACTTGCGACTGATAACACTGACCAATGAAAAATGGGGACGAGTCGTTAATTGTGTTGCCTCTGGAATAATTTTACGCTTGTGAGGTTAAGTAAGTCAGAGGATTCTATTGATCCGGACAGCCGAACTCCACATGACCCCAATTTGCGACCGTAGCATGTGCTAATCCACTCGCTTTACATCCCAATGCACAGGTTCTCCTCTACCTCCTGATGCTATCTGATCGTCACGCGGACCGATGCCGCGACAAGTTTGATGTCAGCAAGTTCGGCTGGCTTGTGTACCTGCACGAAGGCGCAAAGTCGGAGCGCGGCCTCGTGAAGCCGCAGGCGGCGAGTTTTCGAGGGCTCATTCAGTCGCGCAACCAGCTTGCCGCCTCCCTGCGGACGCTTCTTTCCCTCGACAGGTTGGCCGACGAGTCGGGCGACTGGAGCCCGCCACTCCCACGGCCTGTTGACAGTGAACGCGTTTGCTCGCGTTGCCCGTACACTCTAACCTGTGGAGTGTTTCGTGATGACAGGTAGATGCGGGTGCCTTTAATTTCATGTTGAAACCACAACCCTTCATTCTGACCGCTGTTAGCAAGCCAGCACCAGTGTACTAAAATCGATATTCGAATTTATGGGGAACTAAATCAAGCCAATGAGAGTAGCTTTGGAGCAAGTGTTTGTAAGTCAACTGACATCACCAAATATGCATGTCAAATTCTCAGCTGAACGAATGTCCTGACGTGGGTGGGGCTTTGACCCCCGGCGGGTGTTTAAATGCCTTGGCACCAGTCGGCAAGTATACCGTTGTCATGGCAACCATGATATTCTGGTGCAGCAGTCGGCGAAATCACATCCCAAATTTTCGTACCGTGAGCTTGCACGTGTGGACACTGATGGCAGGTTAGAATTGTCGAGCCCCGCGGGCAAAACTTGCGCTGTCCAAATTGAGTAGCATCTGCCTCATCGACAAGGTTTGGATCGGTAATATGTAAATATGCTAGAAATGGTGCATTTTGATGCGCAGACATGTGTGGTATTGCCACCACCTCATTCATTAGCCATTGCCAAGGCGACGAGTATGCAAAAAAAACACGAAAAAATTAATTTCTGCCTTAGGCAGTTTTGTTGATTCCCGACTAAACTGGCTTTCCCGATACCGGCGTGGTTGGACACTTTGAAGTGTGGCTTGCTATGGTCGTCATGGGGAGGTCAACCGATGCTGTTCAAACCTGTCTTTCTTGGAAACACATCTCTCCACAGATCTCACGGTTACCTCTACAGCCTTGCATTTTCACCAGAGCGGTTGGCATAGAACCAGACAGCAGTGGTTTTTTTCAATTGTCTGTGTTGTACTGTTGTTATCTCGTCTACAAACTGCAGTCGTTGCACTCGATTTTGATTGGTGCACACCTACAAAGCTTGTGACATACAGCTTTTTTGTGCTAATGCTTAATTACGTCAGCCAGGCCCGACATGCGTGAGTGAAACTGTTTGGAAGTGGTCTCAGCGACACAGAACAGCTGGAAGCATGGTTAGTGTGTGCTTATATTTCATGAGCGTGGGCATCAGGGCGTGTGTGTCGTTGGTGTGTTAGCTTAGAGGGGGTGGATTCAGAGATAGCGCCATGCGGCTCAGTGGGGATTTCGCGGTATCTGGTGGACACGGAACCGTTCGTACGTGAATCGGGTTGACGGCTCTGTATCCATACGATTCACCACGTTACCTGCACACACACACACACACACACACACTTAATATAGGATCACCATTTAAATTTGGTGAACATGATGATTTAGTAGTCAACAGCTCTTGGTTTCACGAAACCGGCTCAAGTATGATATGATGATTTGCCGTAAAATGCCCGTTGAGTGCACCTTTAAAAGAAGCGCCCTTTTCCTCGCAGATTACGACCTCCGCCGAATGCCGAAGTGCGAGAGCTTTTTGACAAGCGTGTCGGACACATCTCGGCCGATCACAGACGCTTCTTGCGTCGTTGGACGCGCCTCCAGCTGCTTGAACACGCCTCCAGCGATCGTGTGGACAACGTGCTAGCGCAAATAGCCTCTGAATCTGCCGCCAGCGCGTGAGTGCTTTTTTGGCGGGCTAGTTTTTCGTCTTATTGTCTTCGGATCTCAGTTGTTTACCGGTGGGACTTTGCTGGTTAGAACTAAGCAGAAGTCCATCACATACCTTTCACCGAAACACATCTGGATGTTCACACCATCGGTCCGAAGTACCCAGAAACGCTTATCGGACAAGTCTGTAAACGCGATTTTGTGTCCGAGCGCGATGATCTCTCCCGAGTCCAAATTTCTGATTGATACCATGCTCGGACGCGATGTTCAGAGTTGATGGGTGTCAATTTACACAAAATCACTGCATGTCAATCTGTTTTATTGGCTTGTTCGGGGATTTAATGAATCATCGGATTAACCGATTTTGATTTTTTTTTACTTGTAGTGCAGAAACCTCGACTAGTGGCATTCGAGACTTGGTTATTCATGGCAGCAGCAAACCGGACAGCCAAAACGGCTTCTTAACTGCCCTCAAAAGTCGAGATGGTGGTTCAATTAAAGTGTATGTTTTGTGTTATTTTCTGGGTGGGCACATATACCTGATTTGATTGGTTCTAACAACGCGCCACACTGTGCTCCTTTCAATACCCGCAGTCTCACCTAAGCGTCCACAGTCACAAACCACGAGACCGCGGCAGTGGCTCCACTTACGGGGTCTCCCGATCGTTTCCTTTGTGCCTCATCACAGTTGCGATTGGTGCATTTGGTTCGTGATCCCGTAAACAGCCACCGTGGCAGCAGCACCAGTCGTGGCGGTGTCTGATTCGCGTCTCTTAGCCAACGACTCGCATCACGTGCGTGGTGTTGATTGGTCACCATGGCAACCAAGTGTGCTGCCATTCGTCCCCTCAACTTCACTGTCTTGCCCGTTCATGAAATGGTTTTCGATGACCGAGTGTTCGCTAGATTATTCTTTCCACTCACTTTACCTCACGTCAGCTGACACTTCGACGATAAACCGGGTCACTAGTGTGTCCTTTTTATCCCGGTTGCTTTTCTTTTTCAAGTCGTGGCATGTCGAACGGGGACTTTCTGATCGTCAGCAGCGACGACGGACGTCACATTGGACTGTGTTTGGCTTTTCTGACCGGTCTAGACGACGAGGCCTCGCTGGAATCCGGCACGGCGTTCGATGTTCTCACCATCCGGACGGACAGGTATGGCCTCAACCCAATTTTGGTCCGTTCACAGCCCAAAAATTGAGTTGCTGCACGTAATGCGGTCACGTGTTGTGTTAGTGACCCCTTGCTCAAGTCCCGACACCGCCTCTACTTCCGATCTCACAAAATACTCGCAATAAACACTGGTTTAGGAAGGTGAAGGAGAAGAATTTTAGTACAGTGCTTCGTAGCAATTTTGTACCTTATACATGTTGGCGTTTCGATTACTTGCTGGCTATATGCCAGGAGATCACTGCTTTGCAGATGCCCGACTGTTTCAAAAGTGGCTTTGAGGGCTCGTTCGTCGATTACTTTTGATGCCATAGCCTCTGTGACATTCTGTTCTTACCCATCCACACCTTTCTTTCTACAGACCCCTTCCATCCTGGGTGGAGAGTTTCCGTTTGGATCGGTGTATATCTGACAAGACAGTCCAGATCAACCTCTCCAATCTCGTGGGTCTAATGGCAGACTCACCCTTGTGGTAATTTCACTTTTTTTCGGTTAAGAAATCGATTTCTGATGACATTATATGTTCACCGCATAGCAGTTGAGCTTACTTGTCTGGGTGATGAGGCCAAATCTCCCAAGCACCGAGGTCAGTTCTCTATAGAGTGTAGGGTGACCGACACGTCTGATCACTATGGCGATCTTGTTGGATGACCGTTGAGCACAGGGAAGCAGTTAGGAGTCAACGCTCTGCCACAGGAAACACCATCGGCGGCGTTGTGTTGATCCTAACACCCAGTCCGTTTCCACCACCACCACCACCGCCACCAACACCACCACCATCATCATCACCACCACAAACGCCAAAAACAGTCGACCTTTGCCTTCTCTTAGTCGTACCTCTTGGTGCTCTGTTGCAGTTCGCGTCTACGACGGTTACTGGTCGATTGCGAGAGCCCGCGATTCACCAACTCACTAACCAAACCGATGCTTCTGCAAAGTAAGTACACTCACCTTTCGGCCCTCCGTTTTAACCACCCGCCATGATCGAGGGTGTGTTTTGGGGCAAACAAATGCAGGCTAGTCGTGCTTTTTTTAAACCAATGAAAGTGTGTTCTTTCCTCGGCAGTCAATCCTGAATAATCGATAAAAAAATTAAACTATCCAATCAAATCACTTTGTCATGTTCAGACAAATAACATTTAACCAGAAAAAAATACGAATTGCAGATTATGAAAGCGATAAACGAGGGAAAAATAAACTAGCATCGTAATCGTACAGCGTGATTGGTTAAGTATGAACTTAATAACCGCTTCAATAATCGATATCATTCCAAACGTGTGAGTAGCCTTCTTGTCTTATGATATCGGGTTTCTGATCTTTTGATTTGCTGCAGGAGTTATCAAAAAATGTAATTGAATTGCTCCGCCCTTGTGAAGGGTACCCAAAAATATTTTCTGCGGTTGTTGTCCAAATGCCTCTCATAGTTGCCTATCACTCACGCACGTCGGTCAATGCATATTAGTGTAGTATCCGATTACCGACTTAAGTACCAATTACGAATCTGACGTTTCTGCATAATTTCATTGTAATACTCAGTTATTGCTCAAAATTACTTCTAATTTGCGCCATTTTAGTACCAATGTTTACCGTAAGTGACATGAGTAGTGGGTTTCGTCAAGTTCGCTTCCGCTTCTTACACCGCTTCATTTCATCCATTTGAGGTAGTACCAGGTCAAAACGGTAAAACGTAGCAGGTTATTGAGGTAGCCGACTGGGCCACTCATGACTCCTCTGGGTTATTGCCCATTATGAACTTCCTGAGACGCCACTTTTCCGCACTCGCGCGGAATCCTTTTTCAATCGGCGAGGTCTCTGTAGCGTGTCTAGGTCGCGTCTAGTACGACTCACTTCGATTGTCTTGATTTCGTTCGTCTGTCACACGTGTGGCCGAAATCTGCCTTAATTCTTCTGCGCCAAGTTAATCCCAACCTCGATGGGTGTTCAACAACTCTGCTTTTGTTCAGTCCGCAGGTACCTGAGGCCGCTCAACGTGCACCAGCGCAAAGCCATCCTCTCGGTCCTCATGTCGAAGGACTACACCCTCATTGAGGGCTTTCCTGGCTCCGGTGAGGTCTTTCTCTCTCCTGCTTTCACTACTTACAACTCGTCGATAGATGTGGCTATCGTTCGCCAAACCCGTGTTATTTTATATCTCATCGCTAAATCATCGAATGATGCGTTCAGTGACACACCACGTATTCTAAAACCCTGCTTTAACACCGTACCAACACGAAAGAGGCGATTTGGTGGGCATGAGAGTCGTGTACTCGCTGTGAGCACGTTTCTGAGCGCTAATCATGTGAAGAAATCCCTTCGATATTGTCCAAGTGTCAAATGCTGCTGCCTCTTTTGATCATTTCTACGTCGCTTGTTTTGATTACCACCTTGTTTGAATGCATAGTCACTTTTGGCGGACTAAATGAATCCCATTGGAAGATGCTCACCATTCTCGTTAGACGTTTCGTAGCAGGGCGACAGCGCAATGTCCATCTTGCAATAAATACACAAACAGCATTAATACACAGTTTTTTTTCAAATGGCCGCTACTTCGAATCTGGCCTTATCGAACTTGTCCAAAAGAAACGCATAATGCTACAGACCAGTTGTCCCTTAAAGTGGACGTAAGTAGCGCAAACCTGGCCATTCTCTAATGCCAAATGCTGGAATAGAAAGATTTTACCGAGTGGTAGTTCAGTTCAGGGGAGTTGACGGGAGGTCGATGGAGAGATGTGTTGGGAGTTGCTTCTACATTCGACACCCTTCAACAAGCCGACTTGTGCGTTGTTTTGCAGGCAAAACGGAGACGCTAGCTGCCCTTCTGCGTTGTCTCTGTCTGTTGCAGAAGAGGACCCTCCTCATCTCGCACACCCACTCGGCTGTCGACAACGTCCTCCTCCGGCTCACCAAGGTACTCCTTGATCACTCTTCGTATTCCATCTTCTGAGGTGGTCGTGTCGAAGGAGGTGCAGCTTTCTTCGGCTGTCCAGTTTAGTTGTAGCGCCGTCATGTCCACAATGTCTCACAAGTTAGTTAGTTAGTTAACACGGTCGGGTTTCTATTTCCTTCAAAATCGCAGGACTCGGAGGTCAGATTCGTGCGGCTGGGTGCCCCTGACAAGGTCAATCCACTCCTGCGGCCGTACAACTTGGAGAGCCGTCTCTCTGAGACGATTTCTTCCGTCTCTGGTGCTGGGTCCGTCGCCTCGGAGTGCTCGCGTGTTGTCGCCTTCCTCGAAACCACCATGTCAGAGGCGGTAAGTTCCACTCGTTGCCTTCAAAGGGCTCTGGCATCCGTCCGAGCTGGAACTTTTGTTGGTCTCGAGCCAGCATCCTCAGATCTCGAGGCTGTAGATTCAACGATTGCGTGTGGCTGATTCCAATGTTCGTGTCGACTTCACAGCGTGGATATCCAGAGAGCACAGCTGACGTTTGCTTGGCTGGCTCTGACCAATTTCCAACTTGGAGACGCACATTGTGGATACATTGAAGGCACATACTGGGGCGTCTTAGACAAGACACGTTCGATAGCTAAGTCGCGACTTCTGAAGGTTTGAGAGAACTTCAAGAAGGCGGTGAGTGATGCGGATCCGACGGTTTACTGAACTGCTAGATGCGTGTCGTATGGGTATGGACAGGTGTGGAATTACTGTAGGTGTGAAGGAATGCGAACGCTGCGACAGGGCAATGAAATAGACAACTCAATAAAGGCCGACTGAATCGATAAGTTGGTTGTCGATAGGACCGACATTCGTTGGTTTAAACCTCAACCACATGTTTGTAGTTCCAATTTATCGTACTGACACATTTTTCACACTAAACCAATTTACACAGGATGTGCGTTCACCAGTGCATGGTCGATTACCGAAAGTAGGCTTGGTGAGTGTTTGCGTTTGCGTGGAATAACGTCAATATTATTCTAAAATCGATAAACGATGAATCAATTTGAGGACTTGGCCCGCACTCAGTTGAGCGATTGAATTTCAAATGGCCGCTCAAGATAGCGTCGAGAGTAGTAAAACAAAGGAAGGCGGGAAACTCACGGCCATTGGTCATCATCAAGCAACGAACAAACTGCACGTCACACCAACAGAATCGACAAATCTGCGCAATACCTTGCCCCAATTTCATCTCGTTCGAATTCAAGAACTGGTGTAGCTCTCTGACAATGCTCGCCCTGCAGATGGAGTCGAGCGTACAAGCCCGTGCCAAAAATTGCATCCCACCTTTCTCCCACGAATCAGTTTTTTTCCGTTTTTCTTGGTCTTTTTCATCAGCTGGTAGTCGGCAGCACAGCGCTGGCTGCTGGAGGCGCTACCAGCCACAGACACCCAGCTCTAGCCAGACTCCGATTTGACGTTGTGGTGGTGGACGAGGCCACCCAACTCTCCCTACCAACCGTTATCGGTGGCCTCTTGTGCTTGGACGAAAATTCGGGCCAGTTTGTTCTCATCGGTGACCCCAATCAGCTGCCGCCTTTGGTGCGGTCCAATGCTGCCAGGTTAGTCTGGAGAAGCCTTTTCGAATTTGGTTGAATGTCTACTGACACGTAATAAGTAGCTGTTACTTTTTACTGAACGCTCAATGCAATTGTGTCCACCGCATTTAGAAGTGGAGGATTTGCAACCAGTCTGTTTTCCCTCTTGACTCCCATTGTGGAGCGAAACGAGGCCACTCAGCTGCCCGAGGAGTCAGTTTCACTGGGGAGTTGCCGTGTACAGCTGAGATCACAGTATCGCATGAACTCGCGTATCCTACACCTAGCCAACAACCTGTTTTACGACGGTCAAATGGAATGCGCATCCGACGGTGTTGCCACCGCCACCCTCCATCTGCCCCCAACTACCTCTGAGGTGGGTTTCACAGCAGTGAGGATTGCTTTCAGATCAGTTTTTTTTAAAAAAAACGGCGCCTTAAATACAAATAAGCCACAGTTGATTTCGGTATTTTATCTAATTAATAAGGAACTTTGATCATTGGACGGATCGGGTCACACAATTTTTCTATTGATTTATCGTAATTTCCGGCAAGAGAGTCTTTGTCTAAATTCCTGGCCTCCTGCCCGTTGTTTTAAATGACCGCATGTTTTCGCGCTCTTTCAAGTGCACAAGTGGCTGCTTTCAACCAGCAGGGACGTGATTGGGTGCGAGTTGCCATGGTAACCAGCCTCCCTCTAAATCTAACGCCTCGCCGACAGAATCTTTACCTGACTCCCACAAATCTGTGTCGCATTGGCTGTTTGTTTGTCTTTTTTTGTCTTCTTTTTATCTACATTTTAGTCCAAAGCATGGCTCAATCCGGTACTCTCGTCAGAACTCGGCGATTCTGTCGTTTTCCTGGACACTCAGGCTGTACGTTTGCTTGGCAGTTTTCGTTATTGAAGACAATGCACACACTTCCTCCTCCTTAGTAACTTGCGACCTTGTCTAATAACTGACGGCATTGCGGTGCGAAGTTGCGTTTTTATACGGCCACAAGCTCATGTTGAGCGTTACTAGCAGGATTTAATTGTAGATCGGTACTATGAAATGTCTTCTTATCCACATTTTCCACAGGCCTGCAATCCGGACAAGGCAGTTTCGCGTGGCAACGTGAACGTCCAGGAAGTTGACCTGGTCGTCGAAATCGTCGCGCGTTTGACCCAGGTGAGCAAGGACTGTCTCCTTACTTCGGTAGCCGGGACGCGCATTGGCCACGGACACTGTGTCCGACATTGGCGCACTGTGAGCAACTCGTGTCGGGCCAGAAACAGCCATTTCCGGTCTGTTGTTTTAACGAGGCGCAATGGGTGCATCGTTGTTGTGAAATGCCTCACTCCGCGTCTTCCCTTTCAAACATTTCCTTAAAAGTGGGGCAAGAGTTGAGATCAGAATGTGTGTTACCGTTTTGTGTGATTTACCAATCCCGTGCTTGAAATCTGTCTTGGTAGAAGTGGATCTCCTTGCGATTTGCCAATTCTGGGCGTTTTTCATTGGTCCCTTCGAGGCCAAATTTCATTGGCTATTGATTGTAAACACCTGGATTGGACAATTCAAATTCGTGTATGACTAATAGGTGTTGTTGGTCAGTACAGCTTGAGTGAACTAGTAGGAGTATAGCCGACTGAATGGACAGATGAGTTAAACGGCCTGTGAGGAAGGCACATGTACCACATCCTTGTAATTCCATCACATCGGTAGCCTGATCATTTTTTTACAATTCAGCTAACCATCATCAGCGATGAGTGTTGCGTTTGAGTTGCGCATTGCAAATATCGCTTGGTTGTGTTTGCTGAGTCCCGCCCAATTCAAACGCAGCAATCTCTCTGTGGTGGCTCGCACAGTTGTGCGATCACAAATCAAATCAATTCTAACATCGTTTAATCGTAATTCGCATCAATTACTTGATATTGCACAGACCAATAACAAGCCATCGCTTTGCCTGCGCGCATCCCTAATCAGCTAACTCGCGTTCTGATTGGTGCATCAAGTTGATGCTTGTGTTCACACGCTCAGCGCACTCATAATTCAACCGCCGTTGACTGACTGACAGGTGGGCCTTTTCAGCTTTCAGTGTCTCCCGGGGATATTGGCGTGATAGCCCCCTATCGGGCACAGGTGGAGTCCATCCAGCACCGTTTGAGGCAGCACCACGGCGGGCGGTCGGCGTTCGAGGTGAACACGGTGGATCAGTATCAGGGCAGAGACAAGTCTGTGATCATTGTCTCCTTCACCAACTGCTTGCATTCCAGCTCCATGGATCACCAGGAAGCCGAGGCGGTATGCCGTGTAGTCGAATGTCTTAGCGTTTTTCGTATCTTGCACCACAATCATGCCTTTTTTGTGCATTTTCGCAGGAATCGGACGGTACTTCGAGTGGCAGAAGGACATCGTCTCTGCTCAACGAACGGCCACGTCTCAATGTGGCCCTGACACGTGCCAAGCAAAAGTTGATTCTGATTGGTTGTGCGGGCCACTCAAGGACATTTCCAGCGCGTCATATAAGTGTGCTTGAAGAAATGCTGTCTGTTTTGCGCGATATGTCTGCCATCGTTCCTGTCAAAACCTGAGCACACACACACACCTATATACGTGTATATTTTTGTGTAAACTTTTATCTTTTTCTACAGTGTCTAGTTTATAATTGGTCTTCTTTTTTGTTCGACAAAAGTTGGCAGTTACTAATGTTCAAGTCGTTGTGTTAGAAGCACGAATGATGACGCTCTGCTCACAGCACAGTTTTCCTTAAACTGGTCAATGCAACCATCACCACCACCACCTCCTCTTCCACCACCTCCACCAATATCACCACCATCATCATCATCACCCCCACCATCTCCTCCTCCACCGCCACCACCACACCCTCCACTACCACCATCTCTTCCTTCACCACCACCATCACCTCCTCCATTACCTCCTCCACCACCGCCGCCACCACTGCCACAGCCACCGTCTCAACCAATCCGGTTACGACACCTTAAGACACAACTTAGCAAGGGCTTCCGTGAGCGGTTTAATTTATGACGCTGACGTGTTGCCTCCACGTAATTTGTCCGTGTTGATGGCCTGGCGTCGGGTGTGGTGTCCGACAGAGGTCACTCGGTTCGGGGGTACTTAACGCGCGAGGGCTTGTGTAAGGCAGAAATTTTGGACAATTTTATTATTGAGTCGGCCAAAACGGCGTCAGTATTGCGTCATGATAAAATTGTGGAATATATCACAGGGTAAACAGTATGTGTGTGTGTAGTAGGTTTTAGGTTAATATACAAGGCTGGTGGTTGTGTGGACTATGTACAGACGGACGGTGGTTATCCCCGTATCATCATCTGACGCTTCTTTGTTGTTGGGTTGGATAGATGACGCCCGGCTGGTAGGTAGGTGGTGGCTGTTGAATTGACACCGCGGTGGTGTTCTCGGGGCAGGGCTTCTTGGAGTACCTCTCGAGCAGTTCCTGGTGTTTGCGGTGGGCGCACACGCAGATGATCAAAGTGCAGAGGGCCCCCACGGCCACGACCAGGGAGCAGGCGAGGGGCACGAGGAGTGGGTTGTGCGCTGTCGAGGAGACAAGAGATCGGCGGTTAACTTCTAAACTATTGACTTCCTGCTTCCCAGTCAAACATTTTTTGTGAGTCATCATGATGACGATGGTGGTGTGCATCCACTGCCTCTGTCACCTTGTTATTCACCCCTGCGTCGCTTCATGACCTTGTACACACTTTATGACACCAACTTTAAATAAATGGCAGTTTCACCGTCATATCTGATATTTGTGAACTCGGCACATTCGTCTATCGATGTACCATTCTTTATATACCCGCTCACATGAACGTGACATAACACAACCAATCCTAACAGTGTCCCCCCTCAAAATTCCACGTGTAACCGCCCAGAAGAACAACGGAACTAGTAACGATTCTGATCGATTGGTGTCTAAAATTCTGCCTTTTTTTAACTTCACGGAACACGAATTGGATGATTGGATCGATCGCAGAACGCACGGAGAGGAAACGTTCGCGTCTAACAAAAATTCTGTTGTCCATGAAGTGTTTGTGACCCACACTTGCGGTCCAAACTCAAAGTATGACGCAAATAAATACGACTACAGCCACGTTTCACGGCACTCTAGAAGACCTAAGCCTACGTGATCACCCTGTGGCAGTGAATCGTGTTGATTCACGTCCAACAACCAAGCTCTCGTAGCCCCACTCACACGTCCCCCTTTTTACGCCGTGTCCGTCAGACACTGGGACCGCCTGCTCACTAACCCCACCGTGTGTACTACCACCACCCGCCTTACCCATGTGACCATTCAGACGCCTGTATTTCTACTAGTCCACCCAACTGAATTGTCAACACAACACAACTAGGTTGAGCTGTTGTGCCTTCTCCGCTCCGGTCTTCTTTATTTTCGCGGGAATACAGGGTAGCTTAATCGGCCTAGATTGTCGCAGTGGCCCCGGCGTGGTTAAAGGCAACACGCTGGGGCCTTCATCAACCCTATCTCTAGTTGTTCATGCTCGTGGCAATCCATTTTCAGCCGTATAGCCTTCTTGCATGCGATGATTTGACGCAAAATGCTCCAGACTCCCCACAATTAGCTGAAAGACACCTACGAGTTTCGTCATCCTTCACAAGCACAGTCTCGACGTTGATTTCAGCCACACCGAGTATTATGGTGTGCCAGTAGTAGTCGTGCGATTTCGCGCCGACCATGAGAGCCACTGAGGGCAGGTGGGTGTCCCCAGCGGCCTCTTCATGCGTCACGTTCGTGGAGGCGTTCTGACGGATGGCGGCGGCGATGGTTTGGGCGAAGCGTTGAACAAAGACAAACTCCTTGCCTTCGTCGTTCTTGCGAATGCGCTCGTCTGTCGAACTGAGGGTAATCTAAAGAGACAAAAGACTAACTTCAAAGCATGTGATTGCAATGAGTGTTCGTCGATAAGCCTCCGAACCGAAAACTTGCAAATTTATCAGTGACACTTCCTTGTGAGCAAAGCCTTCCTATAATTGATGATTTTAAATTGCATTTTCTTTGGAATTTCGCTTAAATGTCATGTCTGTAGCAAGTTCAGCTCTGTCGTGTGAATTGTTTAAAACGATTCTGCTAAACTGGTGGAGTCTGGGACTGCAAATCTGTGACGCGCGCCATTCGACCCACGCACGCCGGTTTGGCCTATTCTTTGTCCTCCTCTCCCTTCCCATACTCTCGCCTTCCTCAAGGCACGCCCATGAGTCCGAGGGCAACACAAACCCTCCTCGCGGCCATCCCTTTCCCCACTCTAACTCCCTTGGCTCTTGCCCTCTGTGTTCGTATGCGGAAGTACGGAATACATCCGGTTCTTCCAGCTATTCTTCTACCGTGTGCCTGGTAACTAACCGTGATGGTGTGGCTATCTAAGAGGGACGGGCTAACAGTCATCTCCCTATTTAGGTCCCCGCTCGGTAGGCGCGTTACAAATCCACTTCTATTCATACCTCAATATGGGCAACGTCAGGACTGTAGTCGGGCTGGGAGTTGGAGAGCCCACAACTCATCCCCAAGAGACCTCCCCCGTTGGTCGATAATTTCATTTTCTGCATGGCAGGTAGAGCTCGGACGGCGTTGCAAAAGTCCTCCACGGAAACCCCGTAGGGCAGGCGTGTACGGGCTACTGTGACACCGATCCGCGCGCACTGATTGGTCAAGAAGGCGGCGTTGGGCCGACACCCTGGCAACGCGGGGGGCAAGCCGAGGGGCGTGAGGAGGCTGGGTCGAGCCGTTTGAGTGGCATTCACGCAAACCGCACGAGCGTAGCACGGTGGCGTGAGGCAGAGCGGTGATTGAGCAGCCGGTGTGAGCACGTGGCAGACCTCACCATCTCGACACTTGTAGGGGTCATCTGCCCCAACGGCGTTCAGGCATGACCAGTAGCCACAAAACTCCTATTCAATTAGAGTGGGCAAGCTTGTAATGGTGAATCATGGTAGTGCGTTTTGACAGTTAAATAGTGACTTAGCTAACAAGCTATCAACCCCACTGTCTTTTTTGGTCTTAAAAGGACTGGAAGGACTGAAGGACCTGTCTACGTGAGTTGCATAACCTCTCAGAATGGCAGAGTTTACAGCGATAACCACTGATAAACAGCACATTCGACGGCACTGCATGCCAGACGAATTCCATCAAGGAAAAATGCTTCTAAAGCACGGGGAATCGATTTGTAGTGATCTTGGTGCCAACTTTGCATCGCATGAAACGTGTAATTACAGGTGCAAAGTGTGAAGATGCGGAATCGCAAGCTGTGCTGGATGAAGACTCAACGCAGGCACAACAAGAGCTTGCAGTTCAGTAAGAAAGTCGTGGATGGATTACGGGCGGCATCCCAGTACATCGACGCCGAAACAGGACATTCAATTGAAGACGATTCTCCTGTGTATCTGACGGAGGGACATGAAGAGTGCGCTTTATTACGGACTCATGGAAACTGGTCGTCAGACGGTGACTGCGGAACGCTACAGCCGATAATTGAACAAAATGAGCGACGGACAAGGAAGTAGGCAAGTCACACTGCTGCTGTTGCTGCATGACAACGCTTGACCGCCTCACGTTGCTGGCGCGACTCAGAAGACCCTCTTGAACTTGGAGTGGTAGGTTCTGCCACATGTGGCATTTTCACTAGATTTTGCTCCCGTTCCGGCTGCCATTAATTCTGGTTAATGCAGCAGCACGCCTTAGTGAATAAAGTGTTCAAGACGCCGGACACGATGTGCGTAATCTCGTCGTCGATGAGTTTTACCTTGAAACCTGCCAGTTTCCACTGTGACAGCATTCGTACGTTGCTTGAAAGATGGCGGAAGGTTAGTGAACACGATGGACAATATTTCCAGAATTAATTTCCTTGTTCTTTGCCGTATTAGATTAAATAAATTTACTGCAAAATCTGCCAAAATCCAATCTGAAGACAAGTTAACGGCAAATAAAGGCAAGTTTATGTGTTGCTGTGGTGTTGGCCTTACCCGCTCGCAGACGATGGAGCCCTCCACACACTCGCAGGTCTCGCACTGCCAGGCCCACCTTTCGCCGTGGTCGAAGATGCGGTGGTTGAACCTGCAGGACGGTGGCTTCGGCTTCACCTCGGGACTCACCTCCTCGCAGTGCCGACCGCTTCGACCCTCGGGGCAGACGCACTCGTAGGTGCCAATCTTGTCCACACACGTAGCCCCGTAGGCACAGGGGTGGGTTACGCACTCGTTAATGTCTGCAAACGAAGGCATCATCGCGTGGTCGTTAAGGCGCCATCTGGGGTCTGCAGAGTCGTGAGTTTGAGAGACAAACTATTCCAAACGCTGGACTCTATGAAATTCGGCGCACACCCATCCGCGTCTGCAATGTCTTGCATTTGAGGCGTTACACGGATCTTGTATGTGCCCCGCTAGTTTCGTGGTATTTAGCCAAAGGCACGATTGGTGAGGCCTCCTTACTATAAGTCATAACTTTCCCAAAAGCGAATTTTTTTTTAAATGCCCTGGAAGAAATTGATGCCAGTTGTGATCGTTTGCCAATTATTGATTTCGCTCACGGTGACCGGACAACTAAGCAGACAGTAGTGTCGTCGATTCATGCGATTGGTAGTTTAATCCACCTACACGATTCGATGCCATTACAAGGAAAATTTATGGGTGCTAAAGATGATCGGCAGGTTGAATCCTCATTGGATGCTAACTCTAAGATCTGCCCGTTTCCGACGAAGCCAATCGAAATGGCACAATCAAGACATATCACAGGCTAATTGTAGCAAATCCCTGACAGCCAAGCAATGATTTTCACTGAAGACTCCTAGAAAGGCATTGCCATTGGTGGAACTGTCGCCAATGGAACGACATGAAATAACCAATCACGCGGGAGATAAACACTGAACATAAGATGCTGAATAGATCGTGTGAGGGACGATATTTAGCAGTAATCAGTGACTTACTGTGACGACAGTCCGCGCCCATGAAGCCCTCAGGACATTCGCATTCAAAGCCGTTCACGAGGTCGCGACATTTCCCTCCATTCTGACTGCAAGACAACAGTTATGAAAACAGTGAAGATTATGCCACGGGCGGTAGTTGTTCTCACCGCTCAGGCAAATACCAGTAGCTTAGAGAGATACCTTCATGTCATCGCTTAGACGTTAAACCAGGGCATTTATGAACGTCTTCGGTCTATCGCATTCATGCCTTTAACAGTTTAGAGCGATTATGCTGTGGTGCTGTATTTAACCAACCGGATCATTCCAAACCAATACACCAGGGTAGACTGAGGGGTCTTTAGTGGTTTCAGAGCAGAATTTCGGCGTGGACGTACCATGGATTGCTTTGGCATTCGTCAATGTCATCCTCGCAGTGCAGTCCAGCGAACCCCGGCGGACAGAGACATCGAAAATTCTTGCCAACGCTGATGCAAGTGCCGCCATTACGGCAGGGCTTGGAGCTCCGGCACGCGTCGTATTCTGGAGAACCTGTTCAGGGCAAAAGAAACTCCCATCACAAATAGTCGAATCGTCTTCTGCCAACAGCCCGCGTGATGTACTCCACGAAGCCGAACACCTATTCCCCGCACCTGGCAACGAACCGCTGGTTTCGTAAAAAAATGATCACTCGATGTCTAGCCCTCTCTCAAGGCTACGAACTGGTATAAAAACATACTGGAAGCTGAAGTGATACTCTGAATCTTCGATCCTATTGGAGACTGATTTAAGCTATACTTTGAATCACCGTCATGTGTGGCTTTTCCCATGTCACAAGTCATGAAACCGGCCACTCACGTTTTTGGCAGAACTGTCCACTCCATCCGGTGGTGCATTGACAAAAGAACCCGTTCGGACTGAGGCTGTCCTCCACGCAGGTGCCCCCGTTGTAGCAGGGCTCCGATGTGGCACAGGGGTTGAGGTTCGGCAGGTGGCACCACCGACCAGTCCAGCCGGCGGCGCAGCGACACTGGAAGACTCCGGGTTCTGTCTGCTGACAGTAACCGCCATTCCGACACGGCTGCTCCCCACAAGGCTGCTTTTCTAGGAAGCAAGTTGTACTGATTTACAAGCCTAAGAATCGGCTAGCTGGACTTATTTACTGTTTCGAGTTGGTTTGTACTACGGAAAGGTTTATTTTATCGGTGAAACAAAGCTTGAATATCATCCAGTACCACTGGTTACTTGTTCAGCAACTAAGGAAGCTATAGGCACCGCAAAACGCGACTTCTCCGATTGCCTTCTTGCTTCCTATTGGTGAATTTGGGCGCAAGCCGTACCTCGTTCACAGAATGTGCCGGTGTAACCCTCAGGGCACAGGCAGTGGAAGGTTCCAGCGTCGCCGTTCACACAGACTCCATGGTTTCGACAGAGCTGCCTCATCTCCGCGCACGTGTCCTTCCTCTGCTGGCAGAAGCGTCCGGTGTAGCCGTTTTCGCAGTAGCACGAGTGCTCGGCCGTCTGGGGATCCCGAAGGCAGATGCCGTGGTCTCCACACGACCCGGTCATCACGGCCGTCGACTGTGCGTTGAAGGTCACTGCGGGGAGAAGGGGGATCTGCATTGGAGAGGTGTGGTCGGAGCAGGGGTCCACCAGACCGCTGCACCCCTGAGGACCGCAGTAGGGACGCGGGTGCTCGCAATGACGGCCGAAGAAACTTGCATTGCACTTGCAGAAGTAGTTGTGCGGCGTGAGGTTGTAACAGGGTGCCTGGTTTTCGCAAGGATTCGGATCGCATCCACGTTTTGCGTGCTGCGGGAACAACAAGGAAACACAGGAGAAGACTGTATCATGCCTACTGAAAAGTTGGTCGATTTCATGAGAGTAATCACATAAATATTTTGATCGATTCTTTCTGAATTAACTTGGCAAGTGTCGGGCGAAATTTCATGAACTCAAGGCATCGTGACTTAAATCGCAATGAAGACCCCTGATCTGTTACAGCCCATCTAGCAGCTATTAGAAGCGACAACGTCTTTTGGAGAATGGACAGTGTGGCGACCAGCGAGCCTCAATTCAGTAGACAATCAACTCAATCCCAGTTCGGTACGAATTTTCACCAATCAACGATTGAGTCAGCTTCTTGTTTGCACGTGTGGCTAGCAGCAAGCCAGCACAGTTAGCATTCGTGAGTGAACGCAAATCAATCGATTTTTTTATCGTGAATGTACTGTTGTGGACAGACAGCCACCGCGCGTGAGTGGTGCGTGTGTGCTTGCCCGACTGTATATATGACTCACCCTCTTTGTTATTGATTTTTTGTTAGCAGTCGCCCGTAACGCGCGCGTATCGATACGCACACAGAAGTCAGTTACTCGATTTTACTCGACTTTACTTGACGGGCGTGACGCGAATAAACGGTCGTGTTCTCTTTCGACTCTGTCTTTTTCCTCGGGTTATGACCGGCTGTTATCTATAGGGTTTTGTGGCAGTGCTAATTTAGGCCCCCTAAAACAACTATAAAAGCATATTTAGTTTTGCAAACAAGTCCATCAAGTGAATGAGGCGACTAGCGCTTAAAGTAAACTCGCTGAAGTACCTCACAGAAGTCACCGGTGACACCCTCCGGACAGACGCACTCGAATCCGCCTTCAACTTCAACACAAATGCCACCATTCTGGCAGGGATTGGAGGCGCATTTGTGGTTGATTTCGCAATTCCTCCCAGAAAAACCGTCGGGGCACGTGCAGTAGTAGTCGCCAATTAAATCCTGAAATCCACAGGAAATAAAAAAAGGAACTCAGTTACCATCTGCACGGGGACTCGAATTTTCCCGAAAAATCAATATATTTGAAGTCAGAAAATGTGTCTTATTGTGGGCCAAGAGTTAATTCTAGAAATGTTCCTGGTTTCGTGATGTTTCAAGAATCAATAAAGTATGTACTTCGATCGAACAATGTAAATGTTGAAAGGCCAATTATGGAAATTCTTAGAAGTATTAATTAGTAGCACTGACGTGTCAGTTTATGAATTTTATTTTGGTGTTAGTGAAGTGATTTTAGCGCGAAAACTGAGAATTTTCTTTACAGTACTTTTTCTCTAACGTTCGCCCTTGTGGGCTGCACCAAAGCAGGGTAACGGCGTATTTTTCGATGTTGGCGCCGCCATGATTGTTGCTTCAGTAAAACAAACGCCCTCAATTGGCAATTTACCAAACAATCTTACAAATGTCCCCTTTTGAAATTTAAATTGTGCTCCAAAATGTAAATAACGTCTAAACAAAGCTCGAAGGACAATGTCCTCGTTCATCAACACGATAAACGGCTGCTTTACTGTGCGACATCGCAAGGACACGAAAGTCCGAGCTAATGAAGAAAAAAATTTGGCATTTGTTCCTACGTTGTACTCCTTTTGTGATGTTTACAGGACCTAGTGGGGATTAATTGCATTCTTTTCGTGAAACTCGATAACGTGGCAATAAAGTACTTTCGGAATTTGCAAGGGGCGTTGTTAGTTCTGAAGGCAGTGAATGCGAATCATTTCTATTGCAGCAGTTAGCTTTGGCGGTGGCTGCTTTAGTGAACGTGTACGCCAACAACAACCAAAAATCACTGAAACTGTCATCGATTAGTAAAGGATGTCATTATCGCGGTTCCACATGATTTGAATGAAACTCACACAGCACACAACCAATCATTATTCTCGATTTACGCCATTTCTTGTTTAAATTAATCATTGCGTCGGCGTTGATTCGTCGAATTGTTCGCAACCTCAATCGAAAGCTGTTTTTTGGCTAAAGTTTAATGAACAAAGGGACGTCTAGGAAACTAAATGATTGGTTCAATCGCTAACTCTCAACAGCCAATGAAACGACATTTTAGAGAAAACTGAGCAGAATCAGCGAATGGCAATGAAATCTTATTCCGCCAAGATAGTGTGGGGTCACAAACATCTTCAGTCACTCATGCAACTTTGTGAAATTCTTTCAAAAGATACGAATTTTACAAGAGGTGGTAATTTGAATCAGATGTGGGCTGATGATTATCAGGACGTTCCAAAAGCAAGGCAGAATCGTGTGGCCTTCAGGAAGACATCGAAGGGACAGTGGATAAAAAAGCAAATTTTCACCAGATTAGAGTTCAATTTGTTTGTACAACGAAGCCCTAATTGCGTCCTTGCCAAACCAGTGTAAAATGCAAGCACTGTAATCGTTGCGACTTGATAAACTTGCAGTGGATCGCGCCTGAGTGATCCCTGTTTACTGACCCGACGGTGACAATGACTCATCTCCTTTTCATTGGTTACTGGTATCCGACGCCTGTCATCCGCTCACTCGTTCACACACTTGGCTGGCGTGACGCGAATAAACGGTCGTGTCCTCTGTCGCCTCTCTTCACTCCCTTCTCGGGTTAACTAGAGGGTTGTAAGGTAGTGCTAAGCCACTAGCTACTACAGACTTTAATGAGGCTTAACAACCAATGTGAACACGTTACTATATTTTGACCTAGTCAAAAACCACAAGTTGTACTTCAACTACTGGGGAATGTGTTTCCTCTTTTATTGCAAACAAGAAAGCATTCGTTAACGTACGTGACAAGTTCCCCCATTGAGGCATTTGTCCACGCAGTCGTCGATATCTGTTAAAGGAAAATATAATAAAAAGAAATTCATTTCTTTCGCTATTACTTATAGCCGACAGTAGCAAGTTTCATTCGCGTCTGTGAGTTTAATTCTAGGATAATTGAGATACCGCGGCAATTTTAAATTCGTGAACACGCTCTATTAAATGAGTAAAAGTTTTCGGTCAAATTAAGATCACTTAATTCTTGTCGTTGGAGCCTTGTTCCCTATTCTGGAAGTTGACCAACGTCGGCTGGTTGGCCAAACGCGAAGCAACGTCCAGCATGCACAAGCAGGATTAGACTTCTTTACCGCCAAATTTCTTTATCAACCGTGACGAGATCGTGTGTGGTACAAGTGAGCATTCAAACCTCTTTTCTGCGGTTAAAATCGTAGCGACATGAACCAGCACATGAAAAGATATGATTTTGCGCAAAAGTCTGTGAATCGAAGTCTTGACAAAGGCGTTGCCTGTGAGACAGCCGGGCACAAATTTTAAGTTCTGCAAGTCTAATTCGACCACCGTGGACACTAGAATCAATGTATGGGTGTGTTGTGAATCGTGTTTATTCACACCCCAGTTAAGCCGGTCGCTCCACCTCCGACACAGGGTTCCCCTTTTCGCAGCATGTCGCCAGCCGCGCGGATCCTCAACTCCCCCCTCATTCACACGAACATTTATCTTGGATTATCCTCAAACTTAGGTCCCGATGTTAGCGCATGTATGGCTCACACATTCGAGGTATAAATACACACGCGCAAATCACACACGCCATCACGACTCCGTCAAGATCTCGAATAAACGGTTGACTCTTCGTCCTCCCGCAGACTTCATCCTTGTTCGTCTCACCACCATCGTTTTATTCGGTGAAACAGTTTGTAATCGTGGAACTAGTGTTCCTGTATGGAATCCCAAATTGGACTGTATCCCACGCCCACGCCCCCTCCGGCATGAGTTTGTCCCATTCAGTTTAATCGAAGGACTCACTTTGATCGCACAGTTCACCGGTCCAGCCAGGTAGGCAGACGCAGTCGTGTTTGATGCCGTTGGAGGCTGTGGCGAGTTGAGTACACTTGTGGGCGTGGACACACTGCGAGTCGAGGCAGGGCGAGCGCAGCTGGCACACCGAGCCCCCGAAGCCCCTTGGGCAGATGCACCTGAAGCCCAGGCCATCCAGGTCCTGGCACGTGCCCCCGTTCATGCAGATGTTCTGCTCGCAGAAATCGATATCTGCAAGTAGACAGGGCGCCGCATGACGCAACGCTAAGCAGACCGGCTTGAGAAATTCGTGTCTTCTTGTGGACGTGGAGGCGTGGTAGTGGACATTAACATGGCACTAATTTATTGTACTACTCATTTTCCGCTAAGTAGACCTAGGTTCATGCTTTGAACTTAAAATCAAATTTAAAACAAAAGTTATTTCGCAGTTTTTGGGGTTTAGAAAGTACCGCACGCAAGGTTTCAGGACACTGAATGACAAGTCTGTGGAACAGCAGAGCTTACGATGGCAACAGATAAACAACACATTCGCCAAACCGGCATTTATTACAAATTCCATCGAAGAAAAATTGCTCCAAAAGCACGGGAATGAGTCTGTGGTGTTCTTGAGGCTTGTGAAACGTGTAATCATTGGTGCAAACGTTTGATAAGTGGAGATCGACGAACCCGCGCCCGTGAGAGCAGTCTTGAATGGTTGAATTGCAAGCTAAGCTCGATGAAGACTCAACGCAAAAGCAACGAGAGCCTCCAGCTCAGTTGGGAGTCAGCCAAACAGCTATTTGTAGGCGTTTGCACCAAATGGGAAAAATTCATGGACTTGGAGTTGGGTGTGTTGACTGAGCACAACCTAGGTCAACCTCTGAACACGTGCCCTTCACTACTTGCGCGCTGGCAACAAGCAGTGAATGGATTTCTTGTGGAAAATTGTGACGGATGATAAAGAGTTTATTTTGTAGCTAGAATCCATTGACGCCGAAACAGGACATCCACTTGCAGGCGATTCTCCTGTATATCTGGCGGAAGAACATGGAGGGTGTGCTTTATTGCGAAATCATGGAAACTGGTCGTCAGACGGTGACTGTGGAAAGCTACAGTCGACAATTGAACAAACTGAGCCAAAAAGCTAACCAGAAAAGTGAGCAAGGCAGATGGCAAGTCACATTGTTGCTGGTACATGGCAACGATCGACGACCTCACGTTGCTCGCGCGACTCAGAAGATCCTCTTGAACTTGGAGTGGTAAGTTCTGCCACGTGTGGAATATCCACCAGACTTGGCCCTTGTTCCGACTACCATGTATTCAGGATAAACAGTTCAAGACACTGGACACGATGTGCGTAATCTCGTCGTCGATGAGTTTATTGCCTCGAAGCCTGCTAGCTTCAATTGTGACGGCATTCGTACGTTGCTTGAAAGATGGCGGGAGGTTATAGAAAACGATGGACAATATTTCCCAGTTTAAGTTCTTTGTTCTCTATTGATCATATTAAATAAATTTCCAGAAAGTCTGTGAAAATTAAGTTAAGCACTTTTAACATTACCCCTAACATTTGGTTTCCTGTCATCAAAGGATGTCGAACTAAATTAAATTTGAATCGGAAATCGATTTACTTTTCTCAGTGACAATCTTGAGCATTTATTCTGCTTTAAACAGGGCAGAACTTCGTTTGACACACTCCTCATTACGCGCATAAAGATATCTCCCGAAGGAATGATGAGGCAGAGGCGAACTGCATTGACCGCCCAAGACAGCCACCGTCATTCTCCCACGGCTTAATTAGAGTGTGTGGTCATGCGATGGAGCTCATTATTAATTCAGACTTAGCCTGGCCACAAGGAGGCAGGTTGGCAGACAGACGAAATTAGAGCACGTCGGAAAGTAGTGTCTTAGTGGTTTATAATCTCTGGTGACTCGGTAGTACGTGGTAGAAGTTAATCCTGCATTAATCGAGGATTAAAACAATGACTGCATGTACTGCTGCAGCGACGAGGATGCTTAGGAAAACAGCGTCTTACAGCTCTTAATCATCTTAAGGGACAATACTTCGTTGTCAGCTGATGTGATGATATTCGAAGCATGCTCAAAGGGAAAGAGGAGTTAGGCCAAAATTTAGTGCTGTTTTGAAGGGAAACCCACTTTGATCGCACAGATCGCCTCGCCAGCCAGGCTCGCAGACACATTCGAAACCGCCGTCGGAGTTTTCGCGACAGTGTCCACGTTTGCAGGGATTCAGGTCACACGCCTTCAACTCTGGAATGGAGTAAAAAGGCACGGATGCACTGATTTTATTACTTGCTGCTTCTTCTCATCAAATGAGCCATTTTGGGTTGGTATTTAGGGCGAACTGGCAGTCACATTAAGCTAATTTTTGCCCACGTTATTCGTTTAGCTCTAAATTCATCGGATCAGCTGTTTCGAAATCAGGTCAGTCGAGCTGTGATATGATAGGCTGACGCTGCTGAATGAGGTTAACCAACCACACATAACTCTTTCGGATAGGTTTTTAAGCAAAAACAATCTGATCTTACTCTTCTCACACGTATCGCCCCTCCAGCCGCGAGGACAAACGCACTGAAAAGGCTGCGAGGTGATGTTTGTGTTCTTGCAAATGCCCCCATTCAGGCAGGGCTTGTGACGCTCGCAGTAATCCATATCTAAAATTTGCAACAGGCAACGTCTATCCTTCCTTCGATCAAGGAGAAAATTTTGTAAAACGTAACAGGCACGCACACTTCATGTTGACCAAACTAATAAAATTAGTGATTTTTTGACTTCATTAGCGTGCAGTTTGTAATTAGAGTAGGTAGAAATGGCTAATTAACCTGGCCAGTTCTTAATCAGCCCCAGTAGTCACCACAGCCGTCGCCTTAGTTTGAACTCAGACGAACGTTATTTCTGTGAATACTTTCATGACTGGAAGTCGATTCCCGGGCTACAAGCTTTCCCTGTGACGAGCTAATACACCATCACCATGGCTACGAGTGTGGATGTTGCTGTGGTCATCATTTGCGGAACCTTTATTCTTTCCCGGACAGGCCGTGTCCACATGCTCGTGTGGATGTCCGAGAACAGCGGGGAACTTTCCACATAAATATCGGCCTCAGAGTGGTGGGTGTGGCACAGCTTGAGATGAGCTAATGACAGGATAGTTAGTGTGGCGAGCACAGTTAGCAAGCGTGAGCGAACACGATTCAATCGATTTTCGATAAAGCACTTCACGTAACTACGTGCGTGCAGAGATCGATGATTAGCGAAGCTATATAAACACACTCGTTATCCCGTACACGCACACACACACCGCTACTGCTTTAATAAATTGGTTGAGCTACTCGCCACCTGTAGTTCTATTCTTCTTTCGGTAGGGCCATGTCAACGTAGGTTGTCGGCCCTGGTGTGGCTTTTAGAGCCGTACTGGAGCCCGCCACATTAGCAATGAATGGACTACCTTGATCGCAGAATGGGCCTCCCCAATTGGGCAGACAGCGGCACGTGAACGGGGCGTCGTCGCAGGTTCCGTGTCGACACCCCGGGTACGTGATGCATTCGTTGCACAGCTCTCCCTTCCAGCCGTTGGCACACCTTGGAAAGAATCAACGGATGATCAGCACTATGAATTGAGTAACAGCCCTTCCCCCGCAGTTATTCAGCTGTGGACTGCTCTGCGATCAGATGTACTGCAGCCACGCAGTTCGGTACATTCACAAAGTATGAAAGCGCACCAAAAGTGAACACATCATGTCATTCAGTTCATTAAAACGCCTGCTAGTTGGTTATATCGAAACTTGATTTATAGGTGCAGTCACTAATGTGATCACATGCTTTGACTGTCTTCCAGTAACTGGTGCTCTTTTTGCCGTACTTTCACCGAACAGGCCTTGATTAGCGATGCATGTTAGAGGTGGAAAAAACGAAGGACTCGGTGAAACTTTATTTACGGGATCTGATTGATCTCAAAAGCTGGATATTTGAATGATCCTACCTGCATTCGCCGGGCACAGAGCACCTTCCATGGGTTTTGTGGCAGCCCTTGCGGCAAATTGCTAGAGGATTTGAGAGAAATTTGTCAGATCACACACGTTTGCACCACGGTTGCTAATCAGTAATAAGAGAGACCTTACGCTGACTGCAATCGCTGCCGCTCCATCCGCTAGCGCAGATGCGGTGCCCGTGTTTGTCGCAGGTGAATCTGTCCGGCTCCGGCTTGCATTCTCTTGAACAGTCCTCGCCGAAACGGTGCGGCGAACAGGTCAGTCGTAGGGCCATTTTGTAGCTGGACGTCTCAGAATCGATGATGGCTGGCTGCCATTCGAGCGAGGAGGAGGAAGTGGGCAGAAGGATTCCATGGTGGATGGTTCTGTCGACAAGGTACTCCACAGAAGCGTCCGGTTTTGTGTCATATGCCTCGAGGATAAGCGTGTAGAGGCGCTAGAAGATGGTGAAAACATCGGTTAGAGGGGAATCGCTCTCCTTCCACTGGTAGCGTTCTACCCCTTTCCCTCCACAACACCACTGGGTGTCTTCTGGAAGTTTTCGGAAAGTCATTTGACATTCTGATCTGTAACTATGCCTGGCAGTCACGATCCCATCGATTCAGAGTTTGCTCTGAGCACTGATTAAAAAAGGAGATGTCATTTGTTGAGAACAGGCTAAACTCTGATTTCCCTAGGGAAATTATCGCCAACGTGACATTTGATTTGGGGACTCGGGCAATGCAAGTTGCTTGGTAAACACTAAATTACAATCTCCTCCAATGATTAACAATTTTGGAGACATCTGTCAGAAATCTAGGTCAAATTCAAGTTTGAGATTGTAGGCTAGGTCTTGATTGTGAAGAAGATGATTAAAAGACGTGGAAAAAACGGCTAAAGCGCCCACCAGACATGGTGCCCGTGCGTTTCGCCGTAGCACCTAGCCAATGATAATAAAACATCGAGGTGGTTATTTTAATTTTGAGCAGTTGTCAAATCATCGAACTCAAGAGCGGGTGATTTTTTCAAAGAAAAAAAAAACGCACTAATCGCCAACTGTGAGCCGCTTACCTGCTCACACGTGCAAATTCGTACTCAAAATGGTTTTTTAATCACACAAATCCCTCTCTAAGGCGTAACGCATTCCCAATAGCGGTTTCGTGTGTCTTGATTTCTCACAAGAAGTGAATTATGTCTTGGGCATTTAAGTGCTGCTGCAGCGGGTTAAATACGTTTTCTAAAATGAGGGGATTTGCTGCAGGTGCCAAGTCAGGCAGAAGGAGGCAGAGGATGAGAGGGAGTTGACGACCTTCGTTTCTTTTAATTATGCACGATGCCTGCGCGCGGGATGCAAATGCACCCCCCACCCACCCACCCCCTGGTCTCACGTTGCCCACGCCACTCCCCCCTAAACCAGGTCACCTTTTTCTGAAGGCAACAATACGTGTTTCATTGGACCAGACTCTAATTACTATTGATTAAAGCATGTGTTGTTACAGTTGATAAGAGTGGATTTCTTGATCGGCTCCTTGGTTATTTATTCTTGCCACCTACTCCCTTCTCTGCGGTCAACAGTTTCGCTAGGCATGGAGCGAGTGAAGCGTTTTACGTTTAGTTTTCCCCAAATGTGGGCTGCCCGCTTACGCGAGAGCGGGCGTAGCCAGCGCCACAGCCCCTTCCCTCCCTCTCTGACACACTGTGACCCCCCTCCCTCCCTCGCTCTCTCGGGAATACCTCACCCCCTTCTCCTCTTCTTTAATAATTAAAGACAAGACATATGTACGTAAAAGTGACTGAGGAGAAAATTACGGGTTTATTCGGACCACGTCTTCCCCCGGCTTTGCCCAAACATCCCCCAAGAGAGGCTGCAGACGATCGATTCCGCTGCCTCAAGGAGAACAGGTGGTGAATATTTGATGACGATGCGTGAGCTTGCGCACAGCTGTTCCGGCAGCGGGATACTAGGTGGTTTGTCAAAGACGGAATTTACACTGGCTGGGCTAGCGTGATGATTAACACATGCACTCTTTAAATGCTAAAAGTTGGCTTTTAAATATGTGCTTGTACACTACTGTTTCTCAAAATCCAGGAGATCTTTTGTCAAATTTCATCGAAACTTGTCGACACAATCACACTGAATTCGATATTCGAGTCTTCAAGGAACGATGTAGCATAGGATTATTTGAACCTTCATGCGTAATTTTTCACGATAAAATGGCCATTAGCCATCTAACTTCACACCTTTACGCCTTGTCGAAACGCTATTTAGCGATATTCCAATAACAGGCCTGTGTCTTCATAGAAAGAAGACTGCATGCTTCCAAAGTTTGACCTTCAAAGTATCAGTGAAAATTTTGATCAAATTGCTGAACCAACTAAATGGCTTCGTCCTCATTTAAAAAAAAAGAATTTGTCGAACATTATGGTGGATGAAACGTCAGTCTGTGCTAATTGGAGTCCCCGTGGATCTCTTGAGAATTCCTTACGAGTTAACTCGTCGTCCGGTTTCATGAATTTCAATCACTGTTTGTCTATCCACTCTTCATTAGAATCCCACCTGTAGAATTTACGAGGTTACGCAAACCACAAACCAGGCCAGGCAATACCCGCGGTCTCATAAAGCATTGTGTCCATGTGGAAAACTAACGTCTTTATTCAAATACAGCGCTCCCCAGACCTATGACCAAGCATTGGTGAATTTAAACAAATATTTACTGAGACCGATCGTGCACGATGGAATATCTTCCAGCGCCCATGACGGTTATTGAGTGTCGTTCTGTAGTCTGAAGCCTACACTTTGCCTTAAAAGCGTAATACACAGCTCCAAGAAGATCACATCAAGAATTAAAAGTGCCAACTCGTTCCCAAGTTGTCTTTGAAGCGAGGCATAAAGGTTTCGAGTTGAATGTGTTGAGGCCAGTGTGGTCAGATCGGAACAACTCCACTTGCTCCCGGTAAAGCATTATCATCGATATTTAACCGAGGCTGGTGTCACACAGCCCAGATATCAAACCGTGATTGGCAGTGTAAAACCTTCACATTTTATGACATTACACTCCCACACCATCATGATTATGGACTGTGAAATGCCCAAATCAAAGCCGCATTGTCGTTGCTTAGTAGGTGTTCCTCGCCTCCAACACAAAACAGCTTCGGTGGAAGACAGGCGAAAAACGGACCATTCATTCAAACAAAAACGTGATTCTAAACCAAAAAGTCACAAAACAGGTGTGAATGACAGGGGTCTGCACCAATAAAGCATTCACACATGCGTTAGATTACCTTAAGAAATACCGTTTCCATGCAACAACCCAAATCTGCCTTGTGTAAGCCCAGGCAAATAGGAATTCGGCTCCGAAGTGTTAAAGCTAATTGCAGTGCCAACTTAGTTGCTGCCTGTTCACTTCTCCGTGCGCTAAATGAACACTGCTGAAGACGCCCGCTTTTTTTCCAGCCCAAACTAAAAGCCTGGTACCAGCACGAGATTGATTTTGCAACTAACCGAACAGCTGACGGAGCATGTTTGTGCAAAGCTGCTGTTTTCTACAGTGTGGCGGCTAATGTTCCTTGGGGGGGGGTACAGCCTTCCCCCGCCCCCTCCCCCCCGACCTCGCCTTAGTCCCCAACATGGTGTCAGCTGTCGCGTCTGTCTCCAGGGGCCTTTTGCTGCGGGCAAAACGATATTCGACCATCAGAGGACCCTATTCGGTGAAAAGTTGGGCCTGGCTACATTTCTACTAACTCAGAAGCTCATGTTTACATAGCAGTTTAGGTGAATTGAGGTAGTTGTACACCAGATTAATCGTATTATTACGCTAGCCAATGGCGACAGGTCATTGGCTGACAGAAAGATTATTGGTTATTGGTGGGCTTATTTAACTGTTTGGTGTTTCGTTGCACAGGTTGGTCAGGTAATTACCGATACTGACCAAATACTAGGTGCATTAATTAATTTGTACAGAGTTCTTTTGAGATTATAAATTGCATTTAAACTAGAAATATTTTCGCGGTCTTCGGTGGTTTAGAAGGGATTACAGAACAGGAGTCAGAACACCGAACGACAAGTCTACATGAGTTCATAATCTTTGAGAATTGTTGAGTTTAAGTTAGCAACAAATTAAACGGTACATTTATAAGAACTTCATCAAGGAAACAAGGCTTCTACAGGTTGTAGTATCCACTGTGCCGAAGTTGGGACTTGTGAAACGTTTGTGAAGTTGTGACTTCGATCTTTGTGACCACCGGCGCCACGGACAACAGCTTTGAATGTTTGAATTGCAAGCTCTACTGGATGAAGACTCAACGCAAATTCAACGAGAGCCTGCAGCTCAGTTAGGAGTCAGCCAAAGAGCAATTTGTAAGCGTTTGCACCAAATGGGGAAAATTCGGAAATTCGGAGGAACATGCAGTGAATGGACTTCTTGTGGAAAACTGCGACAGATGATGAAAACAATATTCTTTTGTTACGAGAATCCCGAGGAAAATAAACGTCTTGGGAAGACCCCAAACAACCCACTACATTGAAGCCGAAACAGGACGCCTATTTGAAGAAGGTTCCACTGTGTATCTTGCGGATGGACGTGAAGGGTGTACTTTATTATGAACCCATGGCAATCGGTCGTCAGACGGTGACTGCGGAACGCTACAGTCGACAACTGAACAAACTGAGGGAAGTACTTGGTCAGAAATGGCCATTTGGTGGGCAAGGAAGCAGACAGGTCGTACCGCTGCTCCGTGACAACTCTCTTCCACCTCACGTTGCTGACGCGAGACTCAGAAAACCCTTTTGAACTTGGGGTGGTAAGTCCTGCCACGTGTGGAATATTCACCAGACTTGGTCCTTCTTCCGACTACCATGTATTCAGGATCAACAGTTCGAGATACTGGACACGATGGGCGTAAATTCGTCGTCGATGACGTTATTGCCTCGACGGAGCCTGCAAGCTTCTATCGTGACGCAATGTGCGTATTCGTTCATTGAAATTGATAGTCAATATCTCCAAAATAAAGTTCATCGTCCTCTATTTTTTATATTAAATAACTTTGATGAAAATCTGTGCAAATTAAGTCATAAACGCTTTGCCTTGTCCTTACTTGCAACTGGAAAAGTGATCGAAATCATTACTCACGAATTCGGTCCGCATTAACCAATGTACTTTGGAGGATGTTTCTCAAATGGACTTTTTCGCCTAATGATGGCCTTCAATCCTGGTCCACCCCATTCCTTAGGATTTTAATCAAGCTGTTTATTCAGTTTCTTTTTTTCTAACACTTGTTTAGCTGTGGTAACAAGCTAGGAAGACTGTCCTTGACATGACCTGCTCACTTTAATTGGCGGTGGCGGTGAATTTAAATGCAGCTGGCTACAAGAGAGTGCTGGCCAACCAATAGGGTTTCCCTGATGATCAACATCATCATCAACATCAGCGTGGTCGTTCATCTGCTCACATAAGCGTTACTAGTGATGTGTTCTGTGGTGGGTTGCGTGGGAGCGGTCCATCTGGCGAGAGGGGTGAGGCGGAGCAAGTTGATACAACAGCTGGCCGCGCCCTGTCATCGAGTAACAGCTGTTCAAACACGGAGAGATTCACAGAAACCGGTAGGGATGACCGATTATTTCAGAAAGCGGGGAGTTGGGGGGGGGAATATGAAGACTAAGCGAGTGAGTAATCATGGTGGATGCAAGTTCGCCCAAAAGACTACCAGACAAGGAACTGTGGCTGCATCAGTTGGTTGAGAATAAACCTCGACGTCAACAAGGTAACAGTTGAACTCATGTGCCTGTCTCCTGACATTTAGTGTCTGTTTTTGCATCTGTGGTCTGTCGTTCTCAATTGACATAATCGCGGATCATAATATCACCAACACCTTTACCAATATCGATTATATAAAGTGATTAGTAATTCTTATCGACCGATTCCTCAAATCTCAACAAAAGAATGATATGTACAATTATAAAATCATGACTTTTTTGCATTCTCTGGCAGATGAGGTGGGTCATTCAAAGGCGGCCGAAAATTATCCTCCACGAAATTTAACGTGAACTGCATTTAAATGGAAACGCTCTGCTGACGTGTAAGAAGTTTCTCTATATCGTTTTCCTTGAACACTTTTACTCTAAATGCGATTACAAGTCGTGGTTCGTAATAATACCTATCATTTCACATATTTTGTCCATGTTCCCTTCTTTCCAACGTTTATTTATATCTATATGTCTCTACCGTAAATTTAATACGTGGGACGCCATTATGAGTGATGTTCATGTACTTGAAGGCGAGGTGAAACGATCGATATTTCAAATGATTTAAACAAAAGGAAATTCCGCTTTCTACATGGACCGTCGTGATTTCGCAGTGTCGAAGAGAAAGTTTTCTAAATTGCACCATTCCTTCATCAAATTTCATTTTTTTGTTACTAACTTAGCAGACTTCGTTTCGGAAAACTCATTTTTAGCGAGAAATCAGCGAAGTTTAAATTGTACAATTCGTCCATATTAGTGTAAAGAATTTAAATTTTAAAAAAACTGAATCACATTTTGCCAACTTGCATAATTTTAAAATGTTTCAGCATGCTCGCACAAATCTGACATTCTTATTGACCTGAAATTTCTAAATTGAAAACCCAAGCACGGTTCGATGTAGAGAATTTAAAATGAAGTCTCTTCATGAATTTAAATCACATTTTGCTCACAAATTATTACATATCTGCCTATCTCAATTTATTGCTGCTTCTTCTTCAGTCTTTCATGGTTTAAATATAACTGAATTCCAAACTATGCTGTACTCAGTCATGTTTTAATGCATTGTCAGTCGTGTCGTTATTGAATTCCGCTTGTAGATGTGACGCTTCGCTGAATTGTGTCGGACAATCACTGCAGTTAACACGTTTCGAACATGTCCGGATTATGTGAACGGGAAAGTAGATAGGCGTTACTAGGGTTTACGAAATCTTTAATAGACATTAGCCCAAACCTGGTTGCTTCTCGATTTTTTTTAGTGCGGTAACTAACTATTTGTTTAGGCCAGTTGATGGGGGTCTTGAAACAACTCACCGGCCATCGATCCTGAATCGGAATTGATCTCTGCAATCCACTTTCCTTGCCCTGGCGGTACTCCAAGTCCCGCCTAGTGATGTTCACAGAACCGAGTTCACAGACATCCCGCTCCTGCCTCAGCGATTCCACGCTGAACGGCCGGAAGCACAGTCGGAAGGAGAGGTCGCACTGTGCGTTGCAGGACTCCGAGCGCAAGCAGCAGTCGCTTTTGAAGCGGTAATTCAAATTGTTTTCAAAGTGGTACATGGCCACGTCCAGACGGGCCGCTTTCCCGGACACTTGGACACTCCACAGGTGAAGGAGGAGGAGGAGAAGAAGGCGGTCCAGTTGCCTGATGGAGCACATCGTCAATTTGGATGTGGAAGACTACGCGGAAGCCGCTGCCGCTGCCGCTGCCATCCTCTAAGAAGACGGTCGGAGGGGATGGGGGGAGGGGACGCAGAAGGAGCCTTCGCGCAATCAGAGGGTATCCAGGTGGCTGACCAATCACAAACCAGCAACACGCGGAGGTGCGTGCGTGCGTGCATCGCGGAAACGCCAGAAATGCCCAACTGCACGGCTGTTGGCTACAGACGTGGGTTGCACAATAAGACTCCCAGAGTCAAGAGGAACTTGTGTTGGGTCTTGTTTCAGTTAAAACAAAATTCGATGCTTCTCTGACAGAAAAAGACGGTTGCAAATTCCCACAGGTAGCAATCACGACTCACCAGAGGTTGGTGCAAAGTGTCGTGTGATATCAACAGGGTGGCTGACTGTAGCGCACTTCTAACTGGCCTTTTAGCGTCATCGGTCGCGTTGTTTTACTAATCTGGTTGGCACGCTTGGCGCCAATTCAAATTTGTTCACCAAGCGGGCAGATCCATGTGTGACATTGCCTCAGTGCGCCAGGATATTAACCGACCAAATCAATGATTTCCAGCTGATTATTATACTGCCACGTTACAAGCACAAAATCGAGAACTGATGTCATTTTTCGACGGGAAATTAATTAGTTAAAAAGGAATTCATACAAGAGTCGATATTTGTTGAAAAACAAAATTTTAAAGGAGGGTAAAGCAAACAACTGAATCGGTTCATTTAAACGCCATCCAACCGTTAAGCAATCCTAAAATCGGTGACCTTTAGGAGATCAGTGCAAATTTAAAAATATTTTTACATCGTGCATCTGCTTATTTCTCTTCCGCGTGTGCTTTGGACTGCAAATAACACAGCCTCGTACTGGCCGTAACTACTCAGGTGATAGGAAAGTCTACGGCTGTCTGCGAGGAAATATTCGATATGGACAACATCAATTTAAACACTCTGACAAGCCTACAACTCGTGGTCCTTTGCAAAGCCCTGTTTACCTTATTGGCGTATTTTTGACTGCAAATAACACAGCCTCCTCATCTTCCTCATAACAGTAAATACGTAGGTGATGTAAGAAGTTCTACGACTTAAGGTCAACTTAAATGTGCCAATTCCTGCAACAGTGAAGGCGATTCGCTAACTAAAAAGTGTGTTTTTAACAGGAGACCTGGCGAGGCCTCGTGGCAACATAATTTGATAGATGAGGGCAGGGTGTCCCAGAAGATGCTACTTAAAAATTTAAGTAACGTGCACATTTTACAGATTTGCGCGCGCTAAACTGCAACCTGGCTGAATACCGAAATGCACAATAATTTATGAGGATAAAAAGAAACAATTTCCTTTCTAATTTGCAGATACGAACAATACCTGCGAATCATTGGATTAAGTGAACTATGCGAAATTGTAATGACAACTTAATTTACAAACTAGGGCTCAGGTACCTCGATGAAAATTAGAAGACGCTACTTAAAAGATTGTCAGTAACAAATTTATATATCGAAATGCGCACACTTGAAGTCGTTAAAACACACTCAATTACAATGTGGCCGAATACTAAAATTACGAATAATTGAAAAGAAAGAGAACTGTAATGTTGCCGCTTAACAAGGCCCAACCAAACCAAGAAGACGTACCACAACAACAGGAGAAGAAATTTGATTTTGCGGTTCCCGTAATGTTCGTGAATTAAAACAAGTCTCAGAATTTATTTTTAACTTGACTTAACTACTTAAAATCAACACAGTAGCATGGCATATGTTGTCATTAAGATCCTACAGGCGATGGGAGTTTGCTACATCGAAATGGAAACCCCAATATTTGCAAAATCGGTAGTTTCTTACAGAGTAAGTCCAAACTCTGAAATATCAGTAATCGTTATGCGGACACTATTATTAATGTTTCTATTTTTCTGCGTCAGTTGAATCCAAGCGAAGTAGTAAGATGGCTTCGGTGATATGAGTACATTCTTTAAAATAGCTTCTACTATTTGCATTTAAGTAGAATATACACGACTGCAATTCAGGCACTATGAATAAGACTTCTATTTTGCTGCGTATAGTTGAATCCTGATGGTATAGCAAGTCGGAATATTTTATATGCGATCGTCGATGAGGGGTACATCGTTAACGCATTTATCAGTTACGTCCCTCTTTGTATAATAATGATTACTATTTTCATTTAAGTAGAGTTTAAAATGCTGTGACTGACAAATTTTATTTTCTGTTAAAGAAGGGATCGACACAACAAAAAGTAAAAGGAAAAGAATGAGCAAATCATAGTCAGCTCTTTATTGATCCAGTAAGAGAGTTGTCGCTTGTTGTGACTGGGTTATAGCATAACCTGGAATGCTACCTACAACTGACCGTTATATCGACTTCACACTTGTGAAAGCCAGCAGAATTCAAATAATCGAACTCAGCAATCGATTAAAGTCAAATTGGCGACTCAGCATCAGCGCATCGTAATTAGATTTGTCTCGTGGGGAATGTCATTACGTATCTGCATTAACCTTTGTTTTACTATACCGACTTCCGCTAGAACACTGTTCAGCAGATCTTGTTCTCCGCAATTAAATATCTGATATCAGCTGCAGAAAATAAAGCAGATCTGAACCAAATCGAGACGCGTGAGTCCTTGTTTAGGCGGGTGATGCAAAAGTGAACGCAGTGTTGAAGTATATTCCATCCACGAATGTAAGACAAGGCTTATTAGTTAGCTAGCAGCTATATTGCGCCTCAAATCACTAATGCATTTTTCTACAATCTCGTACGTTTGCCATAGAAACCCCAATTCGTATAATTTTTTTTCAAATGACTCACCTCAATCTCGATATTTATATTTCAGGTATCAGTAAAAAATCGATAGGGTTGGAAACACATTTCGTCAAACTCGAAATTCAAAAGGAGTGAGTGACACGGCAATCGATTCTCCGCGCCACTTACGAGTGGATTAAAACAATGCAGCATGTGGAGGGCATTCAAAATGTCGCGGTTATTAAAAAAACTACCAATTAGTGCCTCATTAAGTCGAAACCTCGAGAAATATTCCCACATTCTGGTTAGCACCCCATTCGCACCGATACTGAGGCGATTATAGGCGGGCTTGATTTTGCAAATGGCATGTGCTTTGACACAATTGCGACCTCCAGCCATTCTTTGAGAATGCTCCCACAAATGCCGAAACTGCGTATTTGTGGATGCTAAATGACTCACAGCACTGTGGGATCACAATTA